GCCCGACATAGATGCAGGGGTAGGGGCAGGAGGGGGGCGCTCTCCGGAGGGGGCGCACAGACCCGCAAGCGCCCGCGGATCGCCGAGAGGGGCGCAGCAGCCCACCCCGCCCAGGAGCGTTCCGTGTCGCTGTCGGGGGCCCATCGCCCACATCCTGGAGGATGGCGACTTAATAAATGACCGGGGGTCGTGTTCACGCGGCGGCGCCGGGGATGACGATTAGAAAAGACCGGCCGCGGGCTGGAGAACTATGTTTTTCATCGTTCTCCCCCAGGCAGAAAAGTATGCCGAAATAGCAGGAAGCTATTTTTTTGATCGTTCCCCCCCCCATTTTTTATGAATCGTCATCCCGCATTATAACAGCGGCGTATCGCCGAGGGCAGGTCGATGCCCCCCCCCGAGCAAGTCGTCTCCCTGGTCCCTCCCCCTCCCTCCTCGCCCCCTCCTCCTCCTCCTCCTCCTCCTCCTCCTCCTCCTCCTCCTCCTCCTCCTCCTCCTCCTCCTCCCTTCCTCCCCTTCCCCTTTCCCTCCGCACCTCCCTACCACCCCCTATACATTGCCCCTCGGGAGTGCAGGAGGTGGAGATTTGAGGAAGGGAGGCGCAGGAGCAGGAGCAGCAGCCGCGAGGAAGTGTCTGCCATCATGGGGCAGGCAGAGCTTCACGCGCACATCCTTGAGGGAGGGCGAGATCAGGGGCGCCAAAAGAACCGAGGCTGATACACGTCTGCACGCGCTGATACACATTGAGAGCTGCCGCACAAGGACGTCGTGCTTGCAGGACCCAGATGCGGCGGCGGCAAGCAAGCTAAAGCTTGGAAGCTACTTTGATAGGACGCAGCTGCGACTGGCGCCTTCGGTGCCAGGGAGGACGAGGAGGAGGTGGACAAGTAGACGGAAAAAGAGGAGGATAAGAAGGTGGACGAGAGGGATAAGTAGGAGGACCAGAGTAAACCCAAGACGCATCAACGATGTTGGAATGCACCCTCGCGTCCCAGGTCCCCTCCTTAAAAATCAATGCAGTCGTTATCACTAAAAGAAGTGTCCCTTTGAGAGATCATCACAGTGTGGGCATGCCATTTAGCTTATTTCGGTGATAGCCCCGTTTCGAAACAAACTGTGATGCATGCTCCCATCGAGAGTAATAGTAAGTGCGAAATGTGTTACCATACAGTTCAGTGAGGTGTCCAGCGATATCCTCTTGTTGAAGAGGACCACCCCAGATGTGTAAATGTTGCACAACTGATCATTCGGCCATGAACTCGGAAGAGGGCTCACGCGAGAGCCCCATGTTGAAAAGGAATCGCCCTCCATCCGCACAGCTGCTATTTGTCTTCAAGTTTGCGGTCTTCCGACCCCGGGGTAGTCTCAAGCGAGAACGTCATCTTGAAAAGGAGCTGCCATCCACGCATCCATCTGCTGCCAGAAGTGAAGACGAATGCACGCGGCGCTAAAGCGGCATTATTGTTTTTAACCAGAGTCGCCTTTTATCCTGGTAGCTTGTTGCTGTTGGGGATGTTCGCGACGAGTGCGCGCGGCGCTAAGTCGAGAGCGTCATTGTGAAAACCACGTTAAGCACGTATGTGCGCGGCGCTAAGGCGAGAGCTCCATGTCGTAAACCAACCCTCCTCCATCAGTGTATTTGTTGGAGACTCCAAGCTTCAGGGCCACAAGTGCTGAGGAAGTCTCAGGAACAACTCCCAGCCCGCCCTTCCAGCACGCTTGGGGGCGCATCAGGGAGGATGCATCCATAAAGAAAATGGGTTGACGTAGGGGGAGAGCAGCAGCAGCAGGACCAGCGTCCCCTGGCAGCGCCCGGCTTGGAGGATCGAGGTTTCCGGAGGCCCTTGGGTGGGCTCCCGAGACTTTCGAACATCCCGGAGGCGTCGTAACAAATAGAGCAGGGAGTGGAATATGAAGGGGAGGAAGAGGAGGGAAGGAGGAGGAGGAGGAGCAGGAGGAAGGGGCGGAGGAGGAGGAGGGGAGGAGGAGGAGGAGGAGGAGGAGGAGGAGGAGGAGGAGGAGGAGGTGGAGGAGGAGGAGGAGGAGACTTGGTGCAGGAAAAGGAGGAGGAGGAGGAGGAGACGAGGATGAGAAGGAGGAGAATGAGGAGGAGGAACCACTCCATCCCAGGTTCGCCCGCCCAGCTACTTTTGCTGCTGCTCCTGCTCTGCCCCTCCTCCTCCCCAAGGGCCTGCATGACTTTGATGAGCTCGCCGCAGAGCGGGCGACGCCGCGGCGAAAGCGCGGGCGCGGCCACGGGCAATACAAGGAAGAGGAGGAGGAGGAGGAGAGGAGGAGGAGGAGGAGGAGGAGGAGGAGGAGGAGAGGAGAGGAGGAGGAGGAGGAGGAGGGTAAGGAGGGTAATGGCCATGCGGAAGGGCGAGGTCCGCCCTCCCCCCGCTCGGCCGAGCGCTCTCGCGCCTGCCGCCGAGCGCGGGCCCCTCACGGCCGCCCGCTCCTCGGGAGCCGTCTGGCGACGGCTCTTGATTCGCGACCTTCTTGAACGTCTTGTGAACCCAGTTGCGGAAGCAAGAGGAGGAGGAGGAGGAGGAGGAGGAGGAGGAGGAGGAGGAGGAGGAGGAGGAGGAGGAGCTCCGCTGATCCCGAACTCCTTGCCGACCTCGTCGAGCTCCGTGTCCGAGGGCAGCTGGATGGAGCTCAGGACATCCGCGCAACTCTGAGGCTCCGCTCCAGCAGCTTCGCGCTCCGAACAAAATCTTTGAAAACGTCGTAACGGCGCGCCCGCCGCCTCCGGGTGTATCCGCGCCACCGCCGTCCCGGATCGTGTCGAGGATGGTATCCGTCATCAGCCTCCACTCCACCTCCCTGTGGTACCTGGCTGTCTCGACCTTCGTGAACACTTCAAGATTCTGCTCCCACACCTTCGCGAAGGCCCCGTCGAACGAGTGGCCTCCGATGCTTCCATCCCCGTCCAGCATCGGGAACTTCGGGATCGGGCCCAACTTCCCTGCGCCCACGCCTCCATGATCATTGTCGTTCCAGGACTCATCCGCGTTGCACGCATCCCCGATGTAGTAATGCTCCACCTTGCCACGCCCCGCAATGGCCCCGTCGCCGCCCTTGCCGTTCTCCGGCAGATCCCCTCTCGGGGCGAAGTGGATGTCCTGCTTGATGCCGCTCTCGTTCAGTCTACCAACCGCGGAGTGCGACTCCGATGTCTCCTCATCGCCTTCTTCTCCTTCTTTTCCTTCCTCTCCTTCTTGCTCGCCTTCTCCTGGGTGCTGGTGGCCTCGATCAGCAGCGGCCGATCCCCGATCCACGGCTGCGGCGGGCCCCCCTTTGCCTCCTCCTCCTTCGGCGTGAGCATCGCCCTGATGTGCCACAACCCTGGCGGCAGAGATGGCGTCTCGCTCTTGGTCGCCGCGCGGAGGCCGATCTCGTCCGTCTCCTGCAACCGGTCCGCGATGGCCAGGAGACTCTGCGGCTGCGGCGCCATCGACGGACGTGGTGCCACTGGCGTTGCAGACGACCGCGGGCGCGCCCTGCCTGGGCTGACTGCGACCGCCTGCACTGCCGCCGAGACCGCCGCATGGACCGCAGCCTGCACCACGTCCGCACCGCGGTCTCCTCCATGAGCACGGCTGGGCTCCCTCGGTGTCACTGGTGTCTGCCTCCAGGGCGCCGAGTCCGTCTCCTCGCTTGTAGCCCACGCCCGCCATGGCATGGATATCTGCTGGCTCGGGAGGGCTGCCCCCCTTCGAATCGCGCCCCCCTCAACCCACCTCGGGCGAAAAGGCTTGGAGGAGGAAGAGGAGGAGGAGGAGGAGGAGGAGGAGGAGGAGGAGGAGGAGGAGGGGAGCGGTGGAGCGGCGGAGGGGTAATTAGGGAGTGGGGGAGGAAGGAAGGAAGGAAGAGGAGGAAGAGGAAGCGGATGAGGAGGAGGACGGGGCGGGTTCTTGCGGGGTTATGTCTGACGCTGCCCGCTGCGCGCGTGCCGTAGTAAGGCGAAAGGCAGAATGAGGAGGAGGACGACGAGAAGGAGTGCGAGGCGGGGGAGGAGAGAGAGCACGAGTCTCAGCGAGGCCCCCCAGGAACCTCTCAGCCTTCTTAAAACGAAGTAGAACATACAAGTTCCTCCTCCTCCTCCTCATCCTCCTCCTCCTTCTCCTCTCAAGAACCGTTCTGGCTCAACTGCGCCGCGGCGCTTTTGGGCCGCGCTCCGCACATTTGCGAGGTGTTCTTGACGACTGGTTTCGCAGCCGCGCCGCGTGCCGTGGCGAGCCCCGGCTCAGGCGGAGCAGAGCAAGCAATGAGCTGCTGATGTGGGCCCTCCCCTGTGGCGGCCGCTTGTGCTCGTGCGGGGCGGCCTGCCAGCAGGCGCCCTCGGGCCCGCCGCCGGTGCTGGAGGTCGTCCACCGGTGGGCGGATCAGGGCCAACCGCAGGCGCCGGAGGCGCTTGGCGCCATCGTGGCCCTCCGCGCCGACATCGCGGGCCTGCGCGCGGAGCTGAGCGCCGTGGGCGAGCGGCCAGTTCAGGCGGCAGCGGCGGCGGTCGAGGCCCCGAGGCGGCCAGTGAGGGCGGCTGGCAGAATGGCCAGCCGCCCTCGCTGGCTTCGAGTGAGGCCAGCGAGGAGGCCCCGAGGAGGCCAGTGAGGCCAGGGAGGCCAGTGAGCGCGGCAGTCGAGGCCAGGAGGCCAGCGAGGTGCAACAGCAGGCGGACAAGGTCGAGGAGGCCAGTGAGGGCGGCTGGCAGAATCCGCGGCGCCCTGCAGCTTGCCAGGTGCGCGGTGCTGCAGCAGCGAAGCCCTTCGGTCGCCCACGCGCATCGAAGCGCTGGCGGAGGAGGCCGACTGTGACGGCGAGGGCTCGCCGACCGCTTTCTTGGCCAGCCAGGTGAGGGCGGAGTCGGCGAGTACGAGTGTTACGTCCTGGGCCCGCTGCGGGACTTCGTCGCCGCTGGATGCGGGAAGACGAGGGGGCAGCCCTTCGCTCGCCGCCGCGCCCAGGACGGTGAGGACGTGAAGGACGAGCTAGACGTGATGACGTCCGTGTCGCAGCCCGCGCGCTGCGTCCTCACGGGCGAGCCGCTGATGGAGCTGGTCGTCGAGGGCGTCGGCGGCAAGACGGGCGTCGTGCCGCTGGCATTGGACGGCGTCGACGTCACCGCGCGGCTCGACGGGCAGCAGAACGTCGACCACAGCGGGCCCCTGCGCGGCGAGGGGGTAGGCCACTGCGACGGTGAGAGCAAACTGGAGGGCCTCGACGTGCTGCAGGACTTCGGCTATCGCCAGCCCTTGCGTGGCAAGGGGGTAGGCCGCGGCGAGGGCGTGAGCAAGCTGGTTCAGGCTGCACCCCGATCCTGGCCAAAATCTCCATGGGGTCCTTCAGCAGGAGAAACCGTGGGCATCGGCGTGCCGAAGGACGTCGAGCACGGCGAACCCCTGCGCGGCACGGGGGTAGGCCACTGCGTGTTCGATGGCAAGCTGGAGGGCGTCGACGAGTTGCACGACGTCGACCACGGTAGACCCCTGCGTGGCGACGAGATAGAGCTTTCCGAGTGCTAGGGCAATCTGGAGGCCATCGACTTGCTGCAGGATGTCGACCGCGGCAGGCTGGATGGCAGCGACGTGCTGAAGGACGTCGTCTACGTCGGACCACTGCGCGGCGAGCGGGTAGGCCAGGGCGAGCGCGAGGTCAAGCTGGAGGGCATGGACGACCTGCACGACGTCGACCACGGTAGACCCCCGTGTGGCGAGGGGGTCGGCCATTGCGAGTGCGAGGGCAAACTGGAGGGAGCGACGTGCTGCAGGACGTCGACCACGGTGGACCCCTGCGTGGCGAGGGCGCAGGCCACGGGGAGTGCGAGATCAAGCTGGAGGGCCTCGACGCGATGAGGTGCAAGCTGGTGGGCATCGGCAAGAAGGGCAGGCCGAGGAAGAAGGACAAGGCCGCGCAGGCGACGGAAAGCGCCCCAGGCCTGCCCACCGCGGACGACGCCGTCGAGCGGACCAGGCAGGAGCTCAGTTTGGCCTCCGCCGAGTGCCACGAGCTGGAGGCCCAGCTCGCAGCCGCCCGCGCGACCTTGCCATCGAGGAGATCGAGGTGCGCGCGGCGGCGGTGGAGCTGGCGGCGGCGGGCGGGGTCGACCCCCCCGCCTGAGGCAGCAGGCCTTCCCGCGCCTCGGGCGCGGGGGTGGGGCGCGGCGGTTCGACCGTCACTCTTCCGCTTCGCTCTTACTCTTACTCTTACTCTTACTCTTACTCTTACTCCTCTTCCTCCTCTTCTTTCCGCCTTCCTTCCTTCCTTCCCCACTCCCTACTTACCCCGCCGCCGCTTCAGCGGCGCCCTCCGCCGCTTCCCTCCAGATCCTTTTTCCCTCACGTCCCTGGGAGCCGTCTCACCTCATCTTATCTTCTCCCCCCGCTCCCTATTCACCCCTCCGCCGCTCCACCATTCCCCTCCTCCTCCTGCTGCTGCTGCTCCTCCTCCTCCTCCTCCTCATTCTTCTCCTCCTCCATTTCTGACCCGTGGCCTCTCCCGCGCATTCGCCGCGGCGTCGCCCGCTCTACGGCGAGCTCTTCAAGGCCATGAAGGTTCCTAGGGAGGAGGAGGGGCAGAGCAGGAACAGCAGCAGTGGTAGCTGGGCGGGCGAACCTGGGATGGAGTGGTTCCTCCTGCTGCTCCTCCTCCTCCTCCTCCTCCTCCTCCTCCTCCTCCTCCTCCTCCTCCTCCTCCTCCTCCCCCTCCTGGCCATTCCTATCGTGGGGTGGGGGTGTGCGTGGGGGGGGGTGCGGGGCGGGGGCGTCCCCCGCGTTCCGGCCCCGAGGCCGGGTGGTAAACTTGGAAACGGCCTTGCCGTCGGGGGCCAGATGCACTGTGCGCGGGCGCGTGTCGTACAGTCGGACCTAGGTACGAGATCGAGGTCGGTTCGGGGAGGGTTCCCTCATGGTTTGCGTGTTTGTTGGATGTTCGTGTGCACCCTGGGAAGAATACCCTTGGACGTTATGTGTGCTTGGGCCAGCGGCGGAGGGCTTCGCGTACTTGAAAAATGCTGTTTTGTCCTAGGTCCGATGTTATGGCCGTTTGTGATGCGAGGCAGCCATTGCGATGGGGTGGAGGTGTCGCTTACATCGTGCTCCCTGGAAAACGCACGTGCCCATGACGAGCGACGCGCAGGCCAGCATGCGGACGGTCGACGAGGCACGGAGGTGCCCACAGTGGGTCATAGGAGTCTACATTTGTTGTGGGGTGACGATGGTGGACATTAGCACGGAGGCCGCCCAGTACATCCGGCCCGCGTTTCTGTGCCATCGCCCGTTTTTCGGGAGTTGGGGGAAGCTTGGTTGTGCACTGACCCACCCGCTTGGGGGTCTATGCGCGTTTTTGCTGATCTATTTGCGGACACTTGACTGTCTCTTTCACTGCAATGGATTGGGTTGTGGTCGTTAGTTGGTTCAGCGTGCGCTTGGTCATGTAGCGCCAACACACCTTGCGGAGAGAAACGCACCCGCCTCTGGCTAGTTGGCTTGGGCGCTTGATTATCGACGCCGGAGGACAACCGTGTGTTGTCCACTGGCGGTACTGCAGTGCACAGCGCTTTGTGTAGTATACGAAGTACATCTTGGACACCATCCTCTGAGGCCCCAAGCACGTTCGGCCCTCAGGGCGCTAGATGACGATCCATGACGTTCCTCTTCTTCCTCCTCCGGAGGAGGAGGAGGAGGGGAGGGGAGAGGCAGGCGAGAAGGCCTCCGTGAACGCGGGCGCTGCACTGCCCGCGGGCCCCTGCGTGGGGATTTGCAGCAGGTAGGGCCAGAGCGTCACATGACGCCAGCGACTTCCTTTCCACACGGTGAACACAGCTAAGTTTTAGTCGAGGTGAGTAACACCGTACTGGCCCGAGAGATCGAGCGATCGATCCTCATATGTTTCCTCCTCCTCCTCCCCCTCCTCCTCCTCCTCCTCCTCCTCCTCCTCCTCCTCCTCCTCCTCTTCCTCCTCTTCCATCCCTGCCCCATCTGGGATTATTTGGAGGAGGAGGAGGAGGCGGAGGAGCAAGGGTGGGCGAGCAGGATTCGCAGGATGAGGCGGTGGAGGCTCGAGGGGAGGTCGGTCGTCGCTGCCGTCGTCTTGTTCGTCGCAGAAGGAGGAGGCTCAGAGATAATATTCCCCAGCCTACTTTAGCCTTGATCATCAGAAAGAGTTTCGAGCACCAAGAACATAGCACCAATAACATATCGAGGCTAGAGGGTTTTCACGTGGCCAGCCTAGTGGGTTTTCACGTGTCCGGCCTTGGGAGGCGATTTTCATTCGACACTTCGCCAGCGTGTCGGGCCAACGTTGTTTGGATACTTTTCTGGGTGCTCAGAATTCTCTCTGGAATGCGGTCCTCAAGCACGATGGGAACAGCGTGCGTTCCCAGGTGAAAAAAAAGGTACAGTGCCGTTTTTCATACATGCTCCGCGTGCGGATCTTGTATTAAACATGCAGGGATTCAGCATTAAGATCAACGAGGAGTTAATGCATAAAGTTTTTCCTGCAGCAATCGTGTCTTGCAACTCCCACGTTTGTTCAAACATCCTATGACTTAAAAACTGCCCTGTACGTTCCGAGGCGGAGAAAGGTACCCATACCGCTACCGCTTCCCGTTCCCCATGTCTTCGGCCTCCTGCAAGGGGCCCCTCGCCGCCACGGCCGGGCTCGCCATGGAAGCTCCGGCCAGCACGCACCCCGGGGAGAGGCCTGGGGAGCAGCGGCAGCGGCGTCCTTCGGTTTCCCCAGAGGCCCCCACCGCCCCGGCCCCCCCGCAAGCCTGAAGTCGGGCCCGTCCCTCTGCAGGAGACACGTGCAACAATGGTCAAAAGATAGTTTAGGGGACGACCTGTTGAGCACGTCTTGGCCACCTTGATGTCTCTTTCGACCATTCATAACTCTTCCTCGAACGTCCCTGTGTAGGGGGACAGGCTCGACTTACCGCAAGCCCCAGCGCGGGCGCCAGGCGAGTGCACCTCTGGCGCCGCGGAGGGCGGCGGCGGCGCGGACGCGGCGGGGCTGTGCACGGGCTGCCGGGTGCGCCTCACAGGCCGCCGCGCTCGGGACCTCCCAGACCCCCGGAGGTCTGGGGCCGGCTTCGGCCTCTGAAGGAGTCTCGGCTACACGTAAGAGCGACCTTTCGCGGGAGTGACCTTTGGTGCGGGCTCATCGGGCTCCCCCCGATCGCCGAGCGCGACGCGATATAAGCGGCCCGCGCCCTTGGGTTTGGCTCCCTCGCGCCCCCAAAAGCTGCGCACCACAGGTCACTCTTACCCAGGGTCACTCTTACGCCTAGCCGAAGGAGGCCCTCGGCAGACCCCGGGACCGCGAAGAGATTGCTCGGGACGAACAACGGTCCCTGGGGAAAGGGTCGGGACTTCCGGGGGCCCCGCATGGAAAACATCAGAACGTCGCATGTCAGGGCAATTCTAGGCCTCCCAAGTGGGGTCCGAGTTGGCTGCGGCGAAGGATCGCTCCGCATCGCCAGTGCATCAGCGATGCGGCTCGACTTAGATGCAGTTTTGCTTCACGTCGACGTCGCCGATGCATTGCCGACGTCGACAGTGCACCGCAGATACATTTTCGATGTGTCGCCGATGTGGCGCGACCCACCGATTTAGCGTCTCGCTCCGCAGGTTTTGGCCCACCGCGCTTCGGCTCGACACACTGTCAACGTCGCGGTCCCAGAGCGTCAGGGTCCTGAGCTGTTCCCAGGCTCCCGCCCCGCGGAGCGGAGCGACACGCTATCCGCTCGCAGGGCATAGCGTTTCGCCAGGGCTGGCGCCGCGACGCGCTACGCAAGCAAAAGTTCCCGACCGTAAGGGTTGTAGAAGTCTTTTTCCCGACCTTGCGGAGGGGCTCCCGTTTCGTATTCCCCTGGGGGGGGTTCAAGGGGGGGACCCCTCGAGATCTGGCCCTGGCCACGGGTGGAAGCCCAGCGGAAGCCAGCGGAAGCGCGCCGAAGACGCCAGCCCGCGACGCGGGCGGCCTCACGAGGCCCCGAGCTGGCCCAGGACGGTCCGAGATTGCCTCCACGGCGACCCCGAGATGGCCAGGGCGGGGCCCAGACGGCCCAAGACTTGCCCACGGTGGCTTCGTGGTCCCTTTGGCTCAAGGCCGCTCCGGCCCAGGCGCTGGTCCGGAGCGGCCGCTCGCCTGCCGCTGCGGCGGCGGCACCGCGGCACCGCGGCGGGCCCGCACGGCGCGGGGGCTCCCCGCTCGGGGCCAGGCCGGCAGGCGCCCGCCGCCGAGGGCGGCGCTCGCACGCGCCGGGGCGCATGGCGCACAGCGAGCCGACGCCCACGACGAGCAGCTCCCTGGGCGGCGAGGCCCCCCCCCGGGCGCAGCCCGTGGGGCCGCCCCTGGCCAGCGCGGCCGAGCGCGCGCGGCGGCAGCCGGTGCCCCGTGCGGCGGCGGGCGCCCGCGAGGCGAGCGGTGCGGGCAGGGGGGGCTCCGCCCCCGCGGGCTCCGAGCTCGTGCGGGCCGCGGACGAGGAGTGTCGAAGACGAGGCGCCACATCAACCAGCGCAGGGACATCGATGGAGACTGAGGTCAAGGCCAGATCCGCCAGCAGCGACTCCAGCCCCTGCGGGGGCGCGGCGTCGTCGGCGCATGCCGGTACGTCGCTGGGCGAGGCCGTTGCCAAGTTGGTGGCTGAGGGCCGCGTCCAGCCACGGAAGCAGTCCACGAAGCTCTCGTTGTGA